GGTCGACGAATCTGTTTGGCTCACCTTCGTTCGTTGATCTTGGAAACGGACGGCTCAGATGCGTCGAGACTGGTCACGAGGTTTTAGCCGGAGACGAAGAATCATACGCTCGTAACAAACGGTGTCGTTTGGGACTCATCGATCACACTTTATCTCAGGGAAAATCTCCTCTCAACATGTTCTCGCAATGCCCAATTTCTCGGTTAGACAAAAGTTTCTCCATTTTTTTCTTTGTATCATTACATTGAAATTTCAGAGATTTCAAGTGGGTTCAGGTTTTATAAAGGGTTAAAGTTAGAAATCATTCACCAAACCAATCATTGGTGTTTACTTTCAATGGATGTTTAAAAAGAAGTAAAAGGTGTAACCTTTGTAGTGGTTTATGTGATGTTTCTCTCTTTTAAAGAACCATTTTGTAGTTTTGTGGATAAATGATGAAACTTTTCACGGTCATGTCTTGAGATTCCTCTAAAGTTTGGGATTATATTAGCTCAAGTTTCATATAGATCCTTGCTTCATAGGTACATTGAAGCTGCTTGATCATGTTTTCTTGGAACCCATTGAGCTTTGATATCTCGGTAATGAGGACCATTGGTTGCTAATTTCTCTTGTATTCAGTGCAAATGCATCGAAAGTAGTTATAATTTGTTAGCTGTCTTCTGGTTTTTGGCTATGTTTTCAGCATCAAAATGGTTAAAAGTTGTAAGCTTTCTTTTGGTTTTGGCTATGTTTTCAGTTCGAAACTCGTGTGCAAGCTTACGGGGGATACTGTTAACAAAAATGAGGAGCATATCTGGAAACATGTAAACGGGAAAAGATTTCTTCAAAAATTAGGTCAGTAAACAGTTTCCACATGATATCAGATTCATTGATATCTTGTAATTCATGGCTTTTAATGTTTTTAATGTGATAGAGCAAGTTGAACGATCAAGAGGAAAGACCGAGAAAACAGAAGTAGCAAAACCAAGATGCGTTAAGGAAGATACTGATTCCGAGGGATCAGATTTTTGGATGCTTAGTTCTGGTTCAGAGTCAGAGGAAGAGAGTGATGAAGGAAACTGCAACGGTTGCTCTCTTTTTTCTTGTTTTGTTTCATTTCCATTTTCTTCTCATTTTGAAACACTTTAGTTAGATTTTGCATTTGATTTAAATACAGGTTCTCATTGTGATGCTAAGGAATCTGAGGAGCTCTCAGAAAGGTATTGTACATTTGCTCTTCTTTAATATTGGTTATTTTCTATTTTGATGTCGACCTTTAAATGTTTGCTTTGTGGTCTCTTGTACAGAACAAAGAGAATGTCTATAGAGATCGGACCAAGTAGCTTTGCTTCAAGGAAGAAAAAGATTAGGAATGGTGAGTCTTGTCAAGAGATTTGAATAACATAATACAACAAGTTTGCTTATAAAACAAGCTTTCTAAATTATGTGAGAATTTCATGACTGCTAGTGCTTAATTGCAAAACTGAATAATCCATTATCATAGGTTCAAGTCAAAATGAAACAGAGTTAGGAAAAAGACTTATCAGTTTTTAAGTTATTTTAGCCTAATAAATTTTATTTGTATCATTTTCATCAGTATTAGTAGGTAGACCTTTTGTATAACCACATTGGTATCACTCTCTTTGGGGAAAAATATATAAGTGAGACTTTGAAGTTTTCTTTCTCCTACTGTTTCGTTGTGACAAGAGAGAATAACAAAATGAAAGATGTGAAGAAAATGAAAAGTAGCATCACCAAAACCCAAAAAAAAAATTGACCTCACCGGATCGATGGCCCTTGGCAGCATCCGCCATCGCGCTATAATGAAAAACCATCAAAGTTAAAGTTAACATTTAAAAAAAAAAAGTTAACATTAAGCATCAGAACTTGTAAATCAACAAAGCCAAAAAAACAAACAGACTATGATCTTCTTACCTACACCATATAGAGAGAGAGAGAGGAATAGTTGGAGTGAAGAATCTTCAATTTTTACTCGCATTTGATGGAGCGGTAAATGTGACGGACAAAGAAAAGGGAAGCACGGAATCCGATTGTCCCGAGCATGAGGAAGAATCCGTAACAGATGCAAGCCATGTAGCCAAAGAAGAAGGAAGTCTGCATGAACCCTGACATATCCGATCTCGCATAGTAGTAATACAAGCAGTAGGCGTATATGAATAAGCCTGTTGATCCACCGCATAGGAATGATCTTTGGATGCACAAGATACAAAAGAGTTAGTTACACCGGAAAATTAATAGTTATAGATACTCAAAAATGGGATTCTCTTTTACGACTTTTTATATGTTCTCAGATAAATTTAAGGGAATAGAAAAGAAAACATTACCTCCACCACCACTCATGGTCTTCCGCAGCAAGTTGGAAGTATGTCAAAGCAACGGTGATGAAAGCAGTGACTATGACGAGAATAAGGAAGACGATAGACAGAATACTATAGATGGTGTATATTCTGTGACCCCAAACACTGGCAAATATGTAGTAAAGCTCAATGTAGATGGCACTGAAGGGCAAAAAACCAGCCATAGCCATTTGTGGAAGTGTTCTCCTGTACCAGCGCAATGGTGGGATCTCTCTTGGATATTTTGTGGTACGGCAAGGAGCTAGAAACTCGGATTTTCTGTTCTTACCAGCGATACCTCCCAATATTAACAATGGTGCAGTAACCAGTGCCCATATGAGGAAAATAACGACGATAGTTCCAAATGGCAACGCAGCAGTGGCTTGGTAAGCAATCGCAACGGTATTAAGGAAGGAGAAAGTGAGCAAAAGAGGTCCACAGAAGAGGCTTCCAGTAAGCATAAGATTCCTAACCTGCCAAGTCAATCAATATTCATCTTTCTTAATTAATCTATTTAATCGCAGAACTGTTCACTGAATTTGTAGATTGCACAATTCGTCTGGCAGCAAAACCTTTTGGAACAATATGAACAACTGAAAATTGTAAATATATGAAGCAATTGCAAATGAGAACAAGAAACACGAGCTTTCCCCAGATTGCTATAAATGAATGTATAGAACTGTGAACCAAAACCCACCATGCACAATCATGTCGTATGGGTGTGTAAGGTCAGACCTCAACTATACACATAAACTATAGAGCTCAGGATAAAGCCATCATGCATAATGCAAAGTTGGTGTTATAAACCAAATTGACCGCAGTACTGTATGACTACTTCCTATCAAGTGTATCACTTAAGTACTGTAGACAGTCACTTTTATCAGAGGTGCAGAAACTATACCAAATGATTTCACTTATGCTCACATGGCGGAACACTTTTGACTGACTACTGAGATATGATTTTTCATTTTTATAAAAGAAAAAAACCTAAGCCAAACAAAAGCCCATGAATTGGCATCCATACTTACCCAGTCAGTTCCTTCTAGCTGGCAATAGAAAGAAGCAGCAGTATATCCGGCAATCCCTGAAGTGAGTGCATATATAACAACCAATGCAGTGAACAATGCTCCACGGTTGTAGGGATAAAAGACACCAACTAATGCAAGCATAAAAATGAAAACAGCTCTGCATACAAGCAAAAAGATATGTGTGTGTTACTAAGTGAAAAGAAAACAGCATGCCAGGAAGCGCACCACAGCTCTATGCAAAAACGTACAGTGTAAACAGCTGTGTGCCAGAACCAAGCGCTGCAGCCAGCAGGGATCCGTGTTTCGGGAACCTAAATACATCACCATGGATCAATTTCCACCCAGTCTCTTCTTGGTCATCAGCTGCCTCTTCATCATGTGCATACCTATCAAGTACAAAAGCCTACAGGGTAAGCTACTAGACATACCAAAAGTCACAAATTCAATTATGCTATTCACTCTATTTCATCTCTTACTTGACAAAATCATTCTTCAAGACTCGCATGAGAATAGTCGCAAGGAAACCAGTCAAGAGAAGAACTGTGACACATGAGTTAATGATCGAGAACCAATGAATTTCCAAGTGATGCGGCATTGAGGAAGCCAGTGAGTATTTCTCCATCCTCTTCTCAAACGGAATTTCTGTTTCCTTCCACCTAACAGTGTATGTGAAATCCACTTCGACTTCCTTGTCATCAGTCAAATCCACAAGGAAATTCTGGTCTGTTCTCACAATAATCTCGATAACACGGTCTTTATTATAGAAAATCTCAAACTGTAAGTGATTGAAGAGATAATATTTGTACTCAGACGGATCAGATTTCCCATCCTTGACAACTTTTCCCAAGAATCCCCAGATGGGCAAGTCATCATAATACATCTGAAAGTAGTAGTCTTTCGAGATCACATCTCGGAATTTAGCAACATCTTCTCTACTCAACCTCTTTCTACAAGCAACTTCAGAATTCTTCTCACCCAAAAACTCAAGTTTGTAAGGTGCACTAACTAACCTATCTCCATTAAGAACTTCCCCAAGAGCTTCTTTCTTTTCCTTAACAGGAGCTGCAAAAAGATATATACAGACCTCAGCAACATAACTCAGATATGAAACTAAAGCAATTTAGCTTCCCTTAACATACCTGATGAACAGAATGGTAGATCAAAGTATCTGTATGTTTCACTGCAGCAACACATTGCAAAACAAAAAATTGGTTAAAACCAAATCGTGTATACAAAATCATAAGCATATCTTCCAATACGAGTCCTACGAATTTAGCATCCGAATCCAAAGTCGATAATTACGAATCCTAGCTCGAGATTAAAATTCTGAATCAGAAACCGAAAGAGCGGAGATCGAAAGCTCAGATCTGAATAGATTTTCGAACAGACCTGGGATTGTGAAACGGCCCCACTTTGTTGGCGTAAAGAGGAACATCATCGCCGACTTTGTAACGGTGATCGGAGCCGTCGGATATAGCCGGAGCAACGC